CCCTTCTCGGGGTCCTACACCCTCACTGGGCCAAGTACTGTCCTCTTGGGCTGGAGTCTCAACCCCACACCCCGCACCACACTGGTGCCCAGCTGCCGCGCCTTCCCAGCGCTGCTCGGTGCCCCAGTGGGGCACCCAGGAAAGCCCCAGACTGCTGGGGATCTCCTTGAGGCCTCCCCACACCCCTACAGCCTCACCCGGTCCTCCAGACAATATACACAACAGAACCATAAGCCCACCCAGCTGTAACAAAACAATAGGCCTACTGGCAATAACAAAACAATAAGCCTACCAGCTATAACAGAACAGTAAGCCTACTGGCCACAACATAAAGTCCAGGCCCACCTGGCTCTCTGACCCACAGCCTCCTGGTCAGGCTTCTTCTCACCCTGACTATCATGCAGCCCTCTGGGTGCTCAGGCTGCACTGCTTAGCTTAGCTCTCCCACAGAGCCCTTACCCCTCAGGTTGCCAGAAGGGAACTGCCAGCCAGGCTCTGGCCTGGCTGTTTACAAGGGCCCGGCCCTGCCCCCTTCTGGTCACGTGACCAACCTGGTTGCTCCAGCAACCTGCACCTGAGCTGCCCTGGTGATTGGCAGCTCGGCCCATTTACCACCGCCAGTAGCAGGCACCCTGGTGCCCTGCTACAGTCTTAAATCAGTAGTGCTCAATCTTTTGGTCTCCCAGCCCAGATGAGTAGCTTGGAGCTGGTTCTCAGGCTGGATTGGGCCCTGTGCCACCTAAATTGGGCCCTGCACTGCCTCTGCTAGACCCTACACTACCAGATTGGGCCCTGCACCACTTCATGCAGCCCAGCATAAGGCCACATTAGCCAACCTGCAGGGCTCCCCACGGGTCCAGAACACTGGTAGCAGGGGAGCAGCAATTAATGTTTTTGGACCAGTGGGGATCCCTCCAGGCTGGATATAGTGATTACACAGGCCAAGGGCTGAGCACCCCGGTCTAAAGTTAAAAAAGAGAAACAGAGGAAGATAATAAAGAGCAAAAACAACACTATTGTAGAGTTGCTTGAATGTGCACTAAATACTTCAGCTTTAATTAATTGCATTTGACTGTATGTTTGTTTATTGATATGGCTATGAAAAAACTATAATATATGTTATTCATTGAATAAAAGCATTTCAGAAGGAAAAAGTATCATAGTGTTGCATAAATTGCTGATTTTATCCCCTGGAGG